ATGTTGGCATATTTGGCGACTTCTGTGGTGAGGTTAAGGGACCTTTGGGTAGATGTCTTTGGAAAGAAGAGAAACAATGGAAACTTTCACGATTGTGAATTAAACCATTTGTTTAACAGAGAGTGGTTTTTCTTTGTCCTTGTCCTTCTCTTACTTAAATTAAAAATATATATATATCTTTGTTTAAATAATCTTGCCCTTTCTATCATGAATTTCTACCATGTGCTACAAAATGGTTGATTTTTCTGGCCTATGGAGGCATTATCTGAAAAGGAAAAGAACTTGGTGGGTGGAGAATGCTGCTCACAACCTCTGAGTATTTTTCCAGAGGGAAAGAGAGAGGACAGGCAGAAGCACTGTCCACTTCCCTGCTCAGTGAACCCTGCTTGATGACTTACACAGGTTGAACAGAGTCAGCCATGGAAGCCATTTGTAGTTTTGGAGCACTTTTCTTGTTGGGAAGCCAAGAGGTATCTGGCTCAGTAGTCTGTTTCAATGAGCAGAGCTCCCACTGGCTCAGCCACCAAGGGAGACACCAGAATGTCTCTTCCCTTCTTTCCTCCTAATATGTTGCCTAGTCTGGCTACCTGATGGAGTCTTCAAAAGATACTGAAATAATTGTCAGATCATCCTTTAACATATGTATACATATATTTAAACATATGATTTGGCTTGAGGTTACTTCCAGAAATTGAAACCAGAGTGGAAGATTCCATTCACAATCCTTTTTTTGGCAGCCAAACTCTTGACATATAGGAAATATAAATAGAGCCAAATACAGTGACTTCCTATGAGAGCAAGTTTCAGGAGAGGAATAGCAGAAGCGCTCTGAAGAAGCATGTGGAAATCTTTGAGACACTCTGAGGAATAAAGTGGCTTCTTGTTGTTAATTGCCATTAAGTCTGTTCCGACCCATAGCAACCCTGTATAGGAGGAAGCGACGGGTGAGCTTGAACTGCCGACCTCGCAGTTCAAACGGCTTTGCAGTCTGGCGCATTAACCCATAGTGCCACATCTGGACTCCAAAGTGGCTTGGCTTGTTGTTGTTGTTAAGGCTTGGCTTGTTGTTGTTGTTAACCCTGTACAGGGTTTCCGAGGTATAATCTTCACGGGAGTAGAAAGCCTCATCTTTCTCCCGCGGAGCGGCTGGTGGTTTCGAACCGCTGACCTTAAGCTTCGCAGCCTGATTCATAACCACTACGCTACCATAGCTCCTTAGCTATTCTAAAATATAAGGAGTAGCTGGAGTGACATTAACAATTTTGTGGCTAAACGTAATTTTTTTTTTTTTTTTTTAGTATTAAGGAAGTCATCTGTTTCACTTTTAGTGAGGATGGTAGTGGTAGAGATAATATAAGAGGCAAAAGTTAAACTTTTTAAATTTTTGAAGGTCACATTTTTTCAAACTTCTTCAAAGGACTCTTCATCACCTTCTGTTCCAATGCTTTTATTTTATTAATTCTAATAAAACATATTGTGTCATACTGAGGTAGGCCTTTTCATTAGAGGGTCTCAAGCAAGGCAATATTTAATTAAGGGCCAAGTTCGAGGCAGTGATGGCTGGCCCCAAGCAGGAACAAAGCAAATCTGCCCAACAATTTAAACTCTAAAGGGCAGTTTCGCATGTTCCCTTGAAAACAGGATTACCACAGCTGACCTGGGCTTCCCATGACACGCAGGGGAAGCAGTGCAGGTGTTGGAACCTGGGAACCAAGGGACTCAGGAAGGGAGGCGGCCATCCTGCTTTGCTTTCAATGAAAGGGCGGGACGATCAGAGGGTGATGTCAGATGTGCTGGGCAGTCCTGGCCCGGGCGAGAGGGAGGGGACTAGGGGAACGTGACTGGAAACAGAGGCGGGGCCAGGAGAGGGAGGTGCTTTGAGTGGCTGGGGAGCCGATCCAGCTTGACTGAAATCTCTGGGGAGGGCATTAAGCTCTGTAACTGGCACAGCCTACTCCCCCTTCCTGCTCCCATGCCTCCCTTATCTCCAGTCAGCATCCATTCCCTGATTGAGGCCTGGTCTGCAAGTCAACAGGAACTCGGATATCAACTACAGCCGGACATTTAAAACAGGATAGTTGTTCTGAGGTGGTTTCTGAGGAGCAGAATCCTTAGAACACAGAATAAAGTGCTATCCCCAAATCACAGAGCTTGTGCTCCGGGAGATGAGATTTGGGGCCAGAGAGAAGAGCCTTAAGACCCCGAAGAGGTCTTCCCGCGCCCCCCTCCGCCACCCACACATCCTTTCCTCCCACCCCTCCAAATACACAAAGCTGTTGTCTGAGGTAAATTTTCTGAATCAGAGCTGTCCAAAGACAAAACCAACTACTCTGATGTGTGTGTGTGTGTGTGTGTGTGTGTGTGTGTGTGTGTGTGTGAATTCATGGCCCTTGGCATTGTTTAAGAACAGACTAGAGTGCTTGCTGCCTGCTGAGACTGGGTGTCAAGGCCCCTTCCAGACCAAGCAGTCTGTAAAGCCAAACACGAGGTTTGGCACCACCAGCCTACTCTGCTCTGGCCTGTCTAGAGGATGATGAAAAAATCTCCTCAGAAAAAGATGGCAGAAAAGAACTTGGTAAGGAGAAATGGGGGTCTGGAGGTGGGAGTGATGGGGGAACAAATTGCTTAATATTTTAGATCTTTACTTTTTTCCTCTGTGTAGTTCTTGGTCATGACACTGTGTTGGGACAGGCTGAATGGCTAGAGTGGATATCAGTTGATCCCAGCTTGGTTCTGGACTTTAAGACACAGCATGCTTCTGAGAGTTTTTCCACAGCTAGAAATTTCTGTACCCACATATCCTGACACCCTAGAGCCTTAAGAAGCTTGTTTCTCTTACCAAAATCATTTATATCCAAATACAAAATAGCTTGGAGTATGAAGAAGGAAGCATGTGTAAGCTGTTTATTTTCTCGATTTGGACTTTTCTTACAAAGACCTAGATAGTCCCTAAGGCTTCTGGACAGTTTCAGTCAGTGTTGGACAGCTGGTTACCTAAAATGATTACCTAGGAGTTTATAAACTGCAATTCCAGAAACTTCTGACAGCAATACCAAGCACAAAATCACCAGCAGAGAGGAAATGTGGTAAGATAGGGAAAACCAGCAACAAGTCACAAATATCAAGTTCTGTGACGATTCATGCTATGTATGACAGTGGTCTGTTATGGATAGAATGGTGCCCCCCATCCCAAATGTGTGTTGTAAATCCTAATTTCAATACCTGTGGTTGTAGGCCCTTTGGGGAATAGAGTTTTCTTTGTTATGTCATTGAGATCATAATATCACAGATGGATTGTAGTCCCTGAAATGGTGTTTAGGGAAACGAAACCTAGGTTTAGTTACATAGATGTCCTTACAGAAGGTGTGAAAGAAGAGGAGGTGGAGTCTCTGAGTATAATTTAGCTTCTTCTTTATATATCCCTTTGTCAGGGGAGGGGGCTGCACTCCTGGTTCTAGTGCCCAAGGAGTTAATCCAAAGAACTGGTCCATATACGATTACCTTGAATCTTGTCTTTCAGGTTTCAGCTTATTATTAACTAACTTTATTTCCTTTTGCAAACAGTTTCTTTTCTTTCCCACTCCCCTTACTAATTAACTTCATTTCTACTTGCAAACAATCTTTTCTCCCAGCCCCCTTCTTTTCAGAAATACCTCACTGCTGAGGTTGGTTTGTTTCCCCACTGAGACAGGCCATACCTCTACAGTGACTTGAGACCTTCCTTCTTTCCTTGTTCAAACTACCTAATATTAGAGTAGGGTGTGTCTTAAATCCAATTACTTTTGAAATATAAAAAGGGCAGATTAGATAGAGAAGCAGGGATGGGAGAAGACAGAAGTTGAAAACAGAAAAGAGCAGAAAGAGGAAGCCTTCCGCTAGAGCTGGTACCCTGAATTCAGCTCCTAAAAACTTAAAAAAAATAAGATTTCTGTTCGTTAAAACCAACCTTTTGTGCTAATTTTATTTTAAAAGCACTTAAATAACTAAGACACCCTTTCATCTTCTCCAACAGATGAACTATCAGTATTGTATGGTATCATAAAAGTCAGTATTCTATAATTTCATAACAAGTCGGTCCCTAAGGACTATTTCAAACACTGGTATTCCATGATTTCGTAATAGTTGAACGTTTTATGCAAGTTATATAGCAAGAAAGCAGCGACATACTCATGTATCATCTAACATCTTTGGGGCGTGATGTCCTTTCTGAGTCTTAGTTTGCTAACCGCTCTGGTAGCGTATTGGTTACGAATCGGGCTGTGAACCTTAAGGTCATCGGTTTGAAACTACCAGCAGCTCCGCGGGAGAAAGATGAGGCTTTCTACTCCCGTAAAGATTTACACCCTCGGAAACCCTGTACAGGGTCGCTATGGGTCAAAAAAACTGACTCAACGGCACTTAACAACAACAACAAAATAAAAATAACAATAACAACCTCACAAGGTGGTGGGAGTGAGGGTGCCTATTGTTAAGTGGCGTAGAGTCGGTTCTGACTCATAGCGACCCAGTAAAGGGTTTCCAAGGAGCAGCTGATGAGTTTGAGCCGCCAACAGCGCCACATCAGGACTCTACTAGGGTTTCTGAAGGCTGATGAACTTTGTACAGAAGCAGGTTCTAAACCTCTCCCATTGTATGAGTAGAACAGATCTTCCACTACCCGCTCAGCGCCAGGGAGGGGCGAGAAGGTTGGTTTTGTTTTCGCCCCGCCCCTCCACGCCACGCCCCCGTTCCTAGATATCGCGAGAGGGCGGGCCTGCGAAGCTTCTGTGACGGCTTTGCACTGGCGTTGAGACTGTACGCGGACCTCTCTTTGCGAGCCGCGGTTAAAGTACCGGCGGTGAAGGGCGTGCGAAGGGCTGCCGGCCGCACGGCGTCGGCTGTGGCGTCTTTTTATTGTATCGTGATAAAGACGCCGGTAGCGGTCCCCACAACAATAGGTGTGGCCGCTTCAGCCCCGAGCGGGCTCCGCGGCTGCCTGGTGGGTGTCTACTCGCGTCCGGACCTCTCCTTCCCGGACTCCGAACGAAACAGCGACTCTGAGTAGGCAGCCGGAACGACGGACTATGGCGGCCTCGACGGCCTCGCACCGGCCCATCAAAGGGATCTTGAAGAACAAGGGTTCTGCGGCTTCCACTGTGGTGGCCTCAGCCGAACAGCCCAGCGGGAATGTTGATGAAGAGCTCAGGTGAGAACCGGGCGGGACGGCGCCTCGTCGCCCGGGCGGGCCTGGACAAAACGCTCCCTGGGGACCCGGGCGGGCCGCCGTTACCGACTCCGGGTGCCGGCGGCGGGCCTGAGTGAATGCGGCCGAGGGTACCGCTTCGCCCGCCAGGCCTGCCTGGTGGTGCGGATTCGAAGGAAGAAGGCAGGAGCGATGACGTTTGTCGTGGTTTTTTCTTAAACAGAAATGCATAGGTTATGGGTTCGTTTTTCACGCAAACATCGTGATTTTTGGACTTTCAGGAGTTGATAAACGTTAAGGAATCAAATCGAAGTTTCAAAGGCTCACCTGTTAAGCTTTTCTTTCTTAACCTCTTGTCCTAGCGATTTTAAGATTCTTCAGTCATCAAAGTGTATTTTCTTGGGTTGGGATTCCTTTCAGATCTGGAGACAAGCTAATGAGACTCTTCAAAGAAAGAGACCATTTCCTCATGTTTCTAATTGCCCCACTTCCACAGTCATTTCCTTTTGACGTGAACATTATCAAAATAATTGTGTCACACTCATCTCGTAGGTCCTGGCTTGTCATTATCACTGTACTGAGAGCAACCGGAAATGTCCGAGCTCAGTATTTAACAGAAAGCTATTTAGTGCTCATTATTTTTGCTCCTGCAAGTGTGAGTTTTGGGTGCTTTCTAAGCTTTGTTCCTCCTAAAAACCGTATTTAAGCTCAGAGCAGTTCAGACGGGAATAACTTAAAATGATCCAGTATCATTTTTGCTGCTCATGCCTTAGTCACAGGCACACATGTAAAATGATGTTGAACCAAAGCATTGTGTGTATAGTAAATATCTGGAAGCAATCCAACGCCTGTTAGAAAGGACTGGTGAAATATTCATAGTGTTACGTTTGTATATAATGGAACAATATGCCAGCCTTTTCTTCCAAATGAGGTTAAGTGTTTTTATGCACACACAGGGAAAGATTTCCAAGGTGCAATGCTTAATGAAGAAAATGCTGCAGAACAATATACAGGGAGTCTTGGTGGCACAGTGGGCTGCTAACTGAAAGCTCAGTGTAGAAAGAGGAGGCCGTCTGCTTCCACAAAGGTTTATGACCTTGGAAACCCTATGAGGCAGTTCTCCTCTGTCCTGTAAGGTCACTGTGGATTACAGTCTACTCAGCAGCTACGGCTTTGGTTTGGGATTGGATATATAATATAAAATAACATCACTAAGTTAGAAGTCCAAGGGGGCTTGGATTAATGCAGAGTGCAGAGCTCATATAGACTATAAATATGTGGACTCTGCATTCCAGAATAATGCACTTCAATGATGGTATTGGCACACACCAAAAAATTGACTATACCTTGAACTGCCAGAAGAATGAACAAATGTGCCTTGGAAGAGGTACGAGAATTGAGAATGGTGAGATTTAACTCACTTTGGGCATGTTATCAGGAGGGGCCAATCCCTGGAGAAGGACATCATGCTTGATCAAGTAGATGGTCAACGAAAAAGAGGAAGACCCTCAAGATGAATGGACATGGTGGCTGCAACAGTAGGCTCAAATATAGCAATGGCTGGGAGAATGGTGCTGGCCCAGGTAGATAGCACCTAACAACAAGCACTTTGGAAATGAGGCAACTTAAGAAAAGTTACCGTCAAAATTTTTTAAGTCCTGAAGCTAAAATGAGATGCTCATGAAATCTTAAAATGTTGGAACTAGGATCTAAGTTATGACCATGAAGGAAACTACATCCTGTTGGTAGTAAGTTTGTGGGGATTTGTGTAACCTTGAAGCAAACATTAAGTAGGATCACAGCTTAGAATCATAACCTTTTTGAGTTGGAAAGGATTGATGTAATTTTCTACCTCTATTTGGAGCAAGCTGTTTCAAGTGGGATAGAATTGTAGGTCATAGGATTAAAAAAAAAATCTCACCGCAGCATTCTTTAGCAAGAAAACCAAGATAATTTAAAAACACTGCAACAGGAATATGATTTGCACTGACTTTTATGTTATGTAACTCTACTCTCCAGTGTGAGCTAATAACACCACCACCACCAAGTGATTTGACTCCTGGTGTGGCACTGTAGGATCAGCACAGGACTGCGAACCACAAGGTCAGCAGTTCAAACCCACCAGATGCTCCTTGGAAACCCTATACAGGGTCACTGTAAGTCAGAACCCACTTGACGGCACTTAACATCAACTACCACTAAGTGATTTATTCTTTTCCTCTTTCTCTGCTTCCTTAACTTCTGCTTATTTTCAGCATTGACCTGCTGTAACTTTTCATGGCCCCACTGTGAATTGGGCCCTCTCTGTAAGTGACTGGGTCTTTTGCCTCAAGAGCCACCTTACCAGATGTGACTCACCCATATCGGGCTGCTCTTTCTGTAGAAGCTGCTGGCAAGGCACATTCACGTTAAAAGGGGCCTTTTGCAATGTAGGCAACTTTGATTGACTTGTCAGAGAATTATAGTATTGAATTGGTAACTTCAAAGAGAGCTACCAAGCCCTCATTCATGTATGCTCGCGGTGTTTGGTTTCAAGACATAAAAGGAGGTAGGCTTTTTCATCATGTGTGTTATTTGATTGTAAAGCAAAGAAAATGTAATACAATGTACATTATTATTTATGTCATAGCTCACCCAAACATTAGTAACTTTATGAGAACTTCTTGGAACAGAAACAATAAAAGTATAGTTGAAAACCTTTGAGACTTTTTCTAATATTTAATTTTAATTGCAACCCATATTTTCCCTCTTTCATATAAAAATGATAGGAAAATAATAGCTCTTATAATTACAATCTCCTTAAAATTAGTCTAATATTGTTCTAACTTGAATTTTTGGAACAGAGTATAAGAAAGAAGAGTCTCATGGTAAAGGGAAAATGACTAGATTACTAAAATTGTTTTTATTGATGCCTTTATCATGTAAGATGCCATGATGGTTTTCTTTTTGTGCACCTCCACAATTGTGGAGGGATGTTATTTAACAAAGACATGTTATCAAGGGATTTTTTTTTTTTTTTTTTAAGGCCAGAAGTTATCTATTCAGTGGCCTCTAAACTTGATTGTGATCCTTTTAGTTGCTAGATGCTGTTGAGTCGGTTCCACTCATAGCGACCTTGTGTACCACAGAAAAAACACTGCCTGGTTCTGCACTATTGTCACAATCATTGCTGTTTGAGTTCATTGTTGCAGTCACTGTGTCAGTCCATCTCGTTGAGGGTCTTCCTCTTTTGTTTTGCTGCCCCTCTAGTAAGAATGTTGTCCTCCACAGATTGGTCCCTCCTGATAACATGAAAGTATCTGAGATGAAGTCTCACCATTCTTGCTTCTAATGACCATTCTGTTGTGCTTCTTCTAAGACATTTGTTTGTTCTTCTGACAGCCCATGGTATATTCCGTATTCTCCACCAACACCATAATTCAGTGCATCAATTTTTCTTCAGTCTTCCTATTTATTATCCAGCTTTCCTATGCATATGATAATACAGTGGCTTTAGGACAAGGTGACATCTTGGTTTTTTAACACTCTGAAGAGGTCTTTTGCAGATTTGCCCAATGCAATATGCTGTTTTGATTTCTTGACTCAGCTTCCACGAGTGTTGATTGTAGATCCAAGTAAAATGAAATACTTGGCAGTTTCCATCTTCTCTCTGTTTATGGTGATGTTGCTTAGCATTTAAGTTGTGAGTATTTTTGTTTTTATGTTGAGGTGTAATCCATACTGGAAGTTGTAGTCTTTGGGCTTCATCAGTAAGTGCTTTGGATCCTCGTTGCTTTTAGTAAGCAAGGTTGTATCATCTGTATAGTTGCAGGTTGTTGATCTCCATCCAATCCTGATGCTGCATTCTTCTTCATATTGTAGTGGGATTGTCCAGCTTTTTGTCCTCCTTATTTTTTAAGTAAGAAAAAATATTTTACACATACCTCACATGATGTCTGTTTATATTTTATATAAATATGCCACTGTTTTTTAGATTGTATCTCAAGGGACATACACACTTATAAAGTGAGGTTCATTAGCTGTGGTTTTTGCTGAGTGCCACTGAGTCAATTCTAACTCAGCAACCCTGTATGGGGTTTCCAAGGAGTGACTGGTGAGCTTGAACCGCCAACCTTGTTCAAACTGACTTTCAGTCCCGTGCATTAACCCACAGTGCCACACCAGGACTCCAAAGTGAGGTTCATATAAAGCCATTTTTGATTATTTCCTTTCTTAGCCATTTCTTGTCAGAACAGATCAAACTAGCATTGATTTGTTTGCTTTTTATCAGATGCTCAGTGCTGTTTTATTGTTGTAATTGTACTTGTATTGATATTATATGTAGTGGGTAGTTTCTTCAGGTTTCATTTGTCTATATTTCTTAGGGTTAGTTTAATTAAAACACGATAGGCTCCAGTGTTTTAGGTTGTTAGCTGCCATCAAGTCTGCCCCCAACTCATGATGACCCCAGGCACAGTGGAGCAAAATATTGCAGTGGTTTTTATCTAATATAATATGGTCTGAGCTCACATGGCTTGTGTGGAGCCGTGGTCCTGAGCTTGGGTGGCAGCTGCTCTCTGCAACTGCACTCTCCATGACAGTAGCTTCTCTAGGGGCACAGCACTCCCAGCTGGAAAGAAGAGTTGGAGAAGCATTTGCTACTGACTTGGTAGTGCTGGAGCCTGCGTTCAGCTGCTCTGTCTGCTGAAGGGGCTTCCACCTTGACCCCCACCTCCACTTAGACATCATGGATGGGGATCCCAGCTGTGCACATCTTCAAGAAGCTTTGGTGAAGGTGGCTGCCCTAGGGGACAATCAGGAGTCTTCTCCTGTCCCACAATTTGTTAATGTGTCACTCCTTAAACCCTGAGCGTACTCTCCCAGCCATAGCCAGAGGAGGATTTGGAGAAGCTGTTGGACTTAAATCCACAAGATGTTCAGGAAGTCAAGATGGGAAGATACCTCCTGGCCTGATGCTGAATATGAGCCTGAAAAATCTCCACCATCTCCCCAGCCAGACATTC